AATAGATAAAATAAAATGATGGTTTTCTTAGAAGGGTTCCACAATGGACCCTTTATGGAATTCCAACCATTAATAGAACAAAAGAAAAAACAGTGGTCCCAAATGATCACTTAGAGAGAGGGGACTGAAGAGATAACAAAATGTTAAAATACATTTTCAATTTTGACTCTCTTGTCTCCATATTTTGTTTATAATAATTTAGAGGCTGTTTATTTATTATTCATAATTTTAAAAACTATTTTATTCATTTATTTCTCTAACATATTAATATCAAAAAATACAATAACTTCTAATTAAACTCTACCTACAAAATAATTCACGAATATAAGTAGTTAATAAATAAATAGAATTAAATATTGTTGAATTTTTCTACCATTTTGTTATTATTATTTTATTTCACGAGGGCCTGTTAAAAATAGAATGATTAAATCTTTGATGAAATTTTATTTTGAATTAGTAAATTTACCACCGAATATTCAAATTCTCAATCCACAAGTGCCTAGGATTTTTTAGGATACAAATTACACATAAATGCATAATCCGACCTCAATTAGTGTTAAGGATCCTAAGATGAAAAGAAAGGGACATAAAAATGGTTTATAATAGACATAGACAATATCTCAAATTATAGTATTATACTAAGTGTGGTCTTCCAAAAAGAAAATAAAAAAAGGGTACTATATCGAGTGTTTGTAGGAGGAAAACAAAAGATACACATATATACATGTATGTATATATATAATACAATTTTGGAGATATAAACGAAAATCATTATCTTTATTACTAAGCTGATGCTTAAATTTGGCCTAGCAAAATGATCAAATTCGCATAATTTTTCTTGATTAACAGGATCCAACAGAACTTGTAAAATTAGACAGAAACCATATATTAGTTTATGTTTAAACTAATATATATCGATGTGGTGTTAGTTCATCGCACTCATGAAACCATATATTAGTTTATGTTTAAAGTGTAGTGAAAATTAAAATTTCGTAGCATATATATCTTAATTGTCAAACTTTCCTCTCTAAAGGAGACCTAAGATTTTTGGACTTCTTCTCCCATCTCGAATTCCTTAAATATGAGAAATTCCAGTTGCTCTCAAAAGAATCGAGGGGGCAAAGAACTTGTCCAAGAATTTGGGCTCCATAGGCCGATCAACCCCCTCGAGTTCGGCCTCTCGAGTTCGTGCCCAAGAACTCGGCTTCTTGACTCATCGTTTAGCCTTAACGTTTTTTGGTCGATGTGCTTACTTGTTGAGGTTTTCTATAGCCCATTCACATATTGAAGTTTCTTTATTCACAACACTCGTAGACTGATCAGGTTTCATTTTATTCACAACACTCAATATTAAATATATTTATATTCTAACATGATCTCACAAGTTGTCTAAAAATGCTTGAAATAACAAATATTTTTTTCTTGTATTATCAGGAATCTTTCACACTTGTAATCGACATCAAACTATATTCAAACCCTAAAAAAAAAAAAAAATTCAATCCAACTACTCATTAAAAACATTTTAAAAATTGAAGTGACAGTGGAGAGGGGTTTTAATTTTCATAGGAAAATCCGAAAAAACATACA